CCTTCCCAGAAACAGTGTGGCCACAAAGTACCTATTGCACCTCATCTTTCAGCAAACTCCTTGATTCAAGTGGTCTCCATTAAAAAATGAATAATAATGAGAAAGGAACCAGTTTGAGGCTATACTAATATTGTACTTTAAAAATAAGGTACAAAATGTAAACAAAAAGCAGAATATACAACAGAAAATTATGTTAAGAAGCCGAAGAAAATTTCAAACATACATGCCTCCATGAGCTTCAGGCATTAAATAAAACATAGTATCTTCAAAACAAGAACTCAAATAAATATATACACCAGCTCAAAAGCAATGATAAGACAGTGATTGGACTGGAAAAATATCAGTGGTCAGGGAAGAAAGAGGAGAAAAATAAAACCATTATAGAAATGAAAGTCAGGTCAGCATAGCAAAAAGTAAAGTGGACAGTGCTGCAAACAATGAAGGACAGAGCTTGAGAAAAAGAAAGCAAAATAAAACGGAAAAGAAATACAGATCAAATGTTGCAGAATAAATGATAACTACTGAAGACAAAAATGATCTACAGTAAAAATAATTAGTATCTCTGGGAAAGACAATAAAATAAATGGAACAAAAATATTAACAGAAATAGAGGGAAGAAGTTCCTAAAATAAAACCTACAACAATTCATGAACTGTAGTACTTGTGGGCCCTTATTGAAAAAATGACTCATTCACTTAATCTAACTAAGCAAGAGATGAATCCAAGAAGAGAGCGCAGGAATAAAGCTACCATGTCAGGAAAGAAATTATGGTTAGAAAACTGGGTAAAAATGTTGTGAATCTTTGCAGTGTAGAAATAATAACGTGATTGACGTAGGAGAAGAAAGTGAGACTCAGAAAAATATGTGTATTTGAAAGATAAATGAAGCTATGGCTTTTTAGGACATTATTTAATGTCACTAGGAGCTTAGCTGAGCTGGGAAGGACGGAGTAGCTAATTAAAATAGCAAGACAAAAATAAAAGAGTAAAGCCTTTATCACTTACTGTGGTGATATAAGCACATCTGTAAAATAAGAGAAGACGCCAGGGCCCCCTGCTCCATTTCCACATGCCGCAGCACACTGGGGTAGAGCAGGTGTGTCAGCACAAATATTGGGGAGTCCTGGCCTTAGGGGAAATTGTAAGGGAGGAGGGCTAGGAAGGGAAAGTGCTGAGTACCAGCCAGAGTAGGGAGAAGTGTCTTCCAGATTTCCACCACCTTCTCCCATGAGGAGGTCCTGGCAGAGCTGCGTGCAGTGGACCTCTGCCCAAGGCACAGATAAAGAGAACTAGACATGCAAATATATGAAGAATGTGCTGGCCAGGGCGCCTGAATCCTTGACCCTAATGGCCTGCAGAGACTTGATGTGCTGACCATGTTCCAGTTCTGGAGTGGGAAGGGCAGCTTTCCCTCAAGGCCTGTGGGATGAAGCCTTTGTAACTGCCCACAGTCAGGCCTGAAAAATCACAGAGAGGGTTATAACCAGGAGCAGAACTCCTCAGGTATAAAATAGCTAGTAAAATAAAACTAAAGTCTGTAATTCATCTAGGTAGAAAATGAGGAATTACTAGTCACTACTATATAAACTTCACGTGAGCAGAAACCTTGTGTCTTGGTTCATTGTTGTCACAGACAACAATGTTGGTGGATCACTTTCTGAATGTTGTTGAATGAACAACATATTGTAGCTAAAAAATGGACAGATACCAGGCAAATGGTCACAAATGATAACAGTTTCAGAATAGATGTTAGTTAGAATGGATTTCAAGGCAAGAGCATTTAAGAGTCATAGAAAGTTACTTTATAATGATGATTAATATAGTCCTCAAAAAAGATCTGATTGTCGTATTTATGCACAAGATAACATCAGAGTTCATAGAGCAGGAAATGGTAGGAAATATCCACTCAGTTTTTATTGGACACTTACTATAAGCCACAAAATAGGAAAATCATTATCTTATGAATATGAACTCAGTAATTCTAAGTAAAATATGACCAAATAATTAAGAGCACATCAAAAGAAAAATGTAGCATAACTAAAATGGATTTTGTTTTGGAAAGTATAATAGTAATTTAGTACTTAGGAATTCTATTACTATTATTCAACATGTTAATAATTGGAAAGAGCAAAACTATGTATTAGAAAATATTTGACAAATTGCAGGGTTTTCCAATAAGTTTAATCTTTCACTAAAATTAGGACAAATGCATTCTACTAGAGATGTATATGTCATTTACTGGCTTTGTGTGTGTGTTTATATTTCTGTTTAAACACAAACATGCACATATATCTCCCACTCCAGTAGCATGCTACATGGTAAAACTTGAAAAACATTCTCACTAAAATAATGAATAAGACAAGGATGTCTACCTTTGGCACTGTTATTTAATGTTGTTGTGGACTGTTAGGTAAAGTACTCATGCAGGAGAAATAGCATATAAATATTAAGGAGGATTCTAAAGAATAATTGTATAGGCCTGGAAAACAAACAACGTACTGTCCTAAAAATAGTATGAGGAACAACTAGTGCATTTAAGGACGCTGTTTACAAAAATATGATAACCAGTAGCTTACTATATATGCAAACAAAGACCTGTTAGAAAATATAATAGAAGAAAGTTTCTATGTATAGTAGTAACAAGAAACTTACAAACACTGAGAAATGAGTAACAAGAAATCTGCATGACCCATGTGGAATAAAAGATACTTGAAAATTGGAAGTATGACTGAATATTGTACAAATGTCAGTTCTCTTTAGATTAACTAAAATTTACCAAAATGGTCGAAAGTTGTTTTCTAACCTACCAAGTTTTTCCTAAAGTTTAAATGACAATTACGTATAAGCATAGCCAGGAGACTTTCTGCAAAAACAAGTAATAAAGCTAGTAAGAAGACCAATAAAACTGCTCATCAACATGTGATGAACAGTGCTACCACACTGAGCTGACCTAATGTTCTCTGAAAGCAAAGGTGTTTTTATGACTTGTATGGCCAGGTTATCAAAAAAGAATAGATTTCTGTTAGGTTGCAAATACCAACTTATTAAAGATAATTTGTGTATCTCCGTAACTACTTTCTTGAATTTCAACACATTTTAATGCCTTCCAATGCCAGGTTAAATAAAGCTGTGAATGGTTTGACTAATTATTTCTTGCATAACTGCCCTATCATTTGATTTTTTAAAAAATTACTATTTTGAAGAATCCTTTAAAATTGTAATTCTTTATGCCAAACTGTATTGGAGGCAGTAACTCTGTTTACTTTCTTCAGATTCTAGACATAGGATGCTCCCGATGTAAAAGATCATTGTTTTATTTTTACTTTAGTTTTAGAAATGTAGCTTTAATCAATCCATATTCAGTTAGGACATCAGTAAGTTGCTTATCACAATAGCCCTGTGCTGACAGGCTCTCTAACTTGGTAGGATGTGCTGTCTGATTGTACTGCTTTGCCCCATGTTTTCTGACAAGACTGGTCAGTGCATGATTTTCACATTGTTTTCCTGAGAACCCAGGGATTCAGAGGTGCGGTAGGAACTTTTCAATGTTTAATTTTGTTCTTAGGTTACATACACACCTTAAACTACTTCAAAGCCTGTGATTTAAAAATGATAGACACATACATTCAAACTTTTAATACAACAGAGACAACCGATGGGTTCCCCAGGTTAATTCACTCTTTACAGAACTCAGAATAAAGCTTGTCCTGCCTTATTCATGTCATTGAACTTCTTAAAAATGTGTCATAATTAGGAAAGTTTTGATTCTAGTCTGGTTGCTTGTTTCTGGCTAAGCATTTATACTAAGAGTGCTTAATGAGAATTGGAAAACCCATGGCTTGTTTCTGTGTACAGCAGACCCCCTTATCCACGTGGGACTACCTTCTAGGGCCCCCAGTGGACGCCTGAACCCTCAGTTAGTACCGAATTCTGTGTATATACCGTGTTTATTCCTGTACATACATACCTATGATAAAGGCAATTTATAAATTAGGCACAGTAAGAGATTAACAATCTGATAAAATAGAACAATTGTAACAATATACTTTAGTAAAAGTGTTGTGATTGCAGTCTCTCTCTCTCTCTCTCTCCAAATATACTGTACTCACCCTTCTTATTGTGGTAGTGTAAGATGACAAGATGCCTACATGATGAGATGAGGTGAGGTGAATGACGTAAGCATGGTGACGTTAGGGTTAGACTAGTAATGATCTGACCATAAGTCAGAAGGAGGGTCGTTTGTTTCTGGACCCTGATTGGCTGGGGTTGACTGAAACTGGGAAGTGAGACCACAGATAAGGGAGGGACCACTGTACTGTATTTATCTTCTGATATATAAAAGAGAAGCAAAATAGCATATTTTTCAACTGCTTAGCCCAGTAGGAATTATATTGATTAATCTTATCTGTTACCTTTGGAAGTTTTTTGACTACACACAACTGTAAAACAGTATAATTATTGTGGATATCTGAAAACAGGACCTTTTTTCATTTGGTGATATTTTAACAGAGACCTACATGGAAGGGATGGTGACTGGTCAGTATATCACATTTCCTAAATAAAAAATATTATTGATAGAGAGGTGTTAAAAATTTTTCTTAGGCCCTATGCTAAAAATTCATTAATTGTAAAACGAAGTTCTCTATGTTTGACTCCAGAAAACACAGTGGTGTTAGACTTGAGGTGTCACAGAGGCGTGAAACACTTAGGATTCAGGAAATTAGCATTCCTGCTCTGCTTTGGCCAGCTCTGAGTCTTGGGGGAAGTCACTTAGTTTTTCATAGCTTTGATTTACTTTTCCAACTTCCTTCGTAAGATTGCTTTGTAAAGTTAGTTTAACTGAAGTTAATTTGTTAAGTGTTTATATAAAGTTTTGAGTATTATAAATGAAACTATTAAGGGTTATAATTTCTGATATATTCAGTTACAATTAGCATTTTTCCTTCTTCCCTATTCTATGCATCTTTTTATATTTTTTCCCCCAAATGTTCATTCCTTAGGGCATTACGCTAGAAGAGTTTGACAAATTGTCTTTCAATATGATTTTAATGAGCCCTCCCTGTCAACCATTCACCAGGTATGTATAATAAATATTTCTCTGTTGAGGAAGAGTACTTTCGAGGGAATTAAACCATAGTTTCAAGCATGGACACTTTGAAGACTATTAGCTGCATTTTCATAATTTTGACAATTTTCATAAATAATTCCCTTTATCTACTCATATTTATAATTCAGCTTTAATCATAAAGGAAATAGCAATTACTACCAAATGAGCAAAGCAGTTTGGTCAATAAAAGATATGCTAGAGACTGAATGGGACCTCTTTTATACCTACCTAAGATACAATATTTATTTCTGACCTAAGTTACCTTAGATTAATTAAACTAATGAGTATTCAGGAGTATCTTTTTAACTGGTTAGTAAATTTTCATAATATTAAATTCCTAAATTACTTAACTGTAAAATTTAAAAGCTAATCAAGAATGCGTTTGTGAATTTTATGTTTCTCAGAATTCATATGTACATCGAGTAATTCTGATTTTTTATAGCTATTTTGCAATTCATTTTTTTATTATAGCTATTTTTTCTAATAGCTATTTGGCTGTGTGTTTCAGGGAATTATATCTTAGGTGAAATCTTGACTAATCCATCTTCATTTAGATATTTTTAATTATTTTAAGTAATTGAAACAATCCTCTGTCTTACGTGGAGTATGCCATTTAATTTAACAAGCCTATGGGATAGGTGTTAATATTTTTAAGGCCATACAATTAGAAAATGTCAGAGCCAGGATTTATCAATTATTTTATACATTCCTACTTAAATGTATAAGATGATTTTAAGTGGGATATCACATGTAATAAATATTCTAATTTAAACGAATATTCTCATGCTTAATTTCCATTTAAGTTTTGCTTTATTTAAACAACTCTCTAGGAAATTAATTCCCCAAGGATTTATTGTGCACTTATAAGCCAGGCATTGCTTTTGATACTGTAGTTCCCATCCTCAAGGAGCTTATAGTTTAAGGGAATGACTGACAAATAATTATCATATAATGTGATATAAGCTATATAATAAATGAATGCTGGAAGTGCCATGAGAGTACAGAGGAGAAAGTGGCTTGCTGCATGCCAGGACGCAGGAGTTCTTTGAGAGGCAGTATCTGAACTGTGTCTGAAAGCAGAGAGCATTCCACGTGAAGATGCCTCCAAACATATGCAAACATATGGCCTGTTTAACTACAGTAAGTAGAACGTACAGAACAGAATGCAGCCCCAGCACCGTGTAGCCTCATCCATTACTGCGTGGGGCCTGCTGTGTTTTCCCTACTACCAGCAGCCCAACTCCAGCTGCTGATGGCAGCAGTAACTGATTCTGTAATACTGTCATCATTGCAACGCTGAGAGGAAAGGGACATGGTGAGAAGAACCCAAGGTTTCTGAGGTATCTCTTCAAGTCCACTCTAAGTGTCTATCTGAGCCTCAGATCCACAGATGGTTCTGGCCCTGCTGGAAGGTATGAGGGAACTGACAAGTGATGTCAAGTAACTCATCTGAGGCAATGAAGCTAGTAAGTACCCAAGTCTTAAACCCTGGTCCTCTGTTCCTACTACCCAGGCCCAATCCAAGTCTTCATTTCTGCTTGATTCTTGATCACATTGAATATTACTTGTAAGATCTAATTGCTAGTGCAAATACAGAAATACTGCCTGTCTACTTGTCCTGTTCTGACCTAGTTAGTCTAACCAAGTTGTAACTGCTGCTTGTAGAATCAAGCTTTCAGATTAAGTCTCTACTTTTACATTGGACAAAATTGTCTTAGTCTTACCTACTGTGGTCTGCTTAGATGGTGATTAGTTATCAGTGCCATTACTCTGTGTTGCCACCCTGCCCATTCATCTGAACTTTTGTTGTCTCATCTGGGACAGAGCAAAAGGTGTCATCAACCAGTTGTGTGTATGTGTGTTTGTGTGTCTTTCCTAAACAAAGTGATTTTAAGAGAGTAATTGATTTTAGTCTCTATTGACTATTTGTTCTTCTTTGTTCTCTTCTTTGCCTCATGTAAGTCATTTGGCATATTGTTTTATAATAAGCATACTTATTAGATAGGCAAGTGTTTTTTCGTTTTTATTAAGTGAATAAATACATTTTGTTCTCTATAGCAACAAAGATGATCATATCTTTTGTGAAGACCAACTAATTTCACTTCTCTCAGTTTTGATGTTTTAAAAGTGATTTGGTATCTTTCTGTAAGGAAGATTCTTGGTGAGTTTTATTTGTACCTTTTTTATCCTTTAGAATTGGCCTGCAAGGTGATGTGACTGATCCAAGGACGAATAGCCTCTTATATGTTCTAGGTATTCTCCCAAGGTAAAAACTTAGATTTTTTGTACAAGCTTACCTTAAATTTAAAACTTTGGATCTGGAAGAATGTAATATTTGTCATTTTATAGCAATTAGCAGCTTATACATGCAGCTTTCAGATACTGAGCATGTCATTTATCTTCTTCTGCCATGAGTGATAGAATAACTGCAAATGTTTGCCATTCCGCGGTTGCCACTATAGTGAGTGACAGGGAATTACAGTCTAATAGCTAAATTCTACTGCCTCTCCTTACAGTATTAATGATGCTAATGTTAGTGAATGCTGTTGCCCAAAGCCTGGAAACTTGTGCTAACCCTAGAAGCTGCCATCCTATATAAATGGCAGCCCTTTGAGTTGTGCAGTTCAGAGCCTCTGTGTGAACCCATATTTTCTGATAAAGTTCAATGGAACATAACATTTCAAATGTTAATAACTTCATTAGCTATGCCATTTTTATGGGGAAAATGAATAAAATATAAGTTGTCTCTATCCTCTATAAAGTCCTTTTATAAAAAGAGAGAGAGAAATTTACTTACCTCAAATCTCCCACAAGTAAGGATTTTCTTCTTACTTTTTAGTAATGACATGTTTAGAATTCCATTTGTTTTTGTTTTGTTTTAGATTACAAAAATTACCGAAATATATTCTTTTAGAAAATGTTAAAGGCTTTGAACTCTCTTCTACAAGGTAAAATATATAAGATGTGTTCATTTTAGACTTGGTATATTGTAAGAGCCATTTGGAAATAAAATCTTAAAAATAAACCCATACATCCTGACATTTTATATATATTATATATTTTATCCATTAATATTGATTTTGACTAATTAATAATATAAAGTTTCACAAAGTTAGGTTTACCTGACTGTCTCCCATTTTGGTATGTTTGAATTTTTGCAGAATGAGTACATATTTTAATGAGAATGATATTCCTCAATTTTAGCTGCTTACATTGTTGCCGATTTCTTTAGAAGTAGTAATATTCTCAGTAAGAAACGTTCCTCTTGATAAGCATTTTCTGTCCCGCAGTTAGGAGAAGGAAGCCCTGGATCAGAGCCCTTTCAGATGGTAGCCCAGCTAGAAAGTATCCGTGTCCTCAAACCAGCTGCTGTCTGATCAGTGCTCCCCCATCTGATTTGCTACAGATAGAGTTCATCCCAATAGCAGATTTATCATCAGTAGACTAGTGATTCTAACTCTGGATAGAATATAGCCCCAGTTGGGATAAATTATCTGGCAGCTTTATTTATTTATTTATAATAGAAATCATCTCTATCTTTTTTTGAGAAATGCAATTTCTCAAGTACTGGACTTAATAATTATGACCTAGGATCATTCACTTTCTAAACAACTTCGGTGGAGGAACAGTTTTCACATAAAATGAAGTTTATATATAATTTTTTTATATAAGAACCCCATTTCCAACTATAGGGTGAAAGTTTTTCTTTTTTCTCTTACTCTTTCTTTTCAGAGACCTGTTAATACAAACATTAGAAAATTGCGGTTTTCAGTACCAAGAATTTCTATTATCTCCAACCTCTGTAGGTACCACAATTATCAACATTCCTATAAATTTTCCTAAAGGGAATTTGACTCAATAAAAAGAATGGATCTGTTTTGAATAATACTATACTTAAATCTTGAAATTAGTTCAGGCATGGGTCTTACTCTCTAAAGAATATTGTACAGGCATATAGATTTATTTACACATATTTTGTGGGAAATATTATATAGCTTGAAGAGAGAATATACATTTCTTTCTGTTTTTTTTTAAGATTTTATTTATTTATTTGACAGAGAGAAAGAGAGAACACAAGCAGGGGGAGGGCAGGCAGAGGGAGAAGCAGGCTCCCCAGTGAGCAGGGAGCCTGACATGGGACTCTGGGATCATGACCTGAGTCGAAGGCAGATGCTTAACCGACTATGCCACCCAGGGGTCCTGAGAATATAAATTTCTTTTCACACAGAAAATAAAGGATAATGTGTTTTGAAAATCTGTGACTTTTGGTATTTCCAAATCAGGTGTTCTGTAGTTTGGTAATGCTTCAAAATCATCCAAAATAGAAAACAAAATGAACATATGATAGTTTTCTAATTAGTTTTTTTGGGACATACATTAAAAATGCAAACACTATGAAATCCTGCCATTTGCAATGACATGGGTGGAGCTAGAGGGTATAATGCTAAGCAAAATAGGTCAGCCAGAGAAAGACAAAAAACATGATTTTACTCATATGCGGAGTTTAAGAAACAAAACAGATGAGCAAAGGAGAAAAAAGAGAGACAAATCAAGAACTATAGAGAACAAACTGATGGTTACAGGGGGGTATGGTGGGGGATGGGTTAAACAGGGGATGGGGCTTAAGGAGTGCCCTTGTGATGAGCACTGGGTATTGTATGTAAGTGACAAATAACTAAATTCTACACCTGAAACTAACATAACACTGTATGTTAACTCTACTGGAATTAAAATAAAATAAGATAAAATGCAAACATTGCTTCTATCTCATGAATATGAAATTGAAGTAAGTGGTTATGATATTTGGTAGATCTTTTATATTACAAGTATCACTATCTATTTTTTCTTTTATCATTGTGTTTGTTAGCCTTTTATTATCTTTAGCCTATTATACAGTTATTTACCCTGAAATTAAAAGAAAACCTGTTTCAGAAATTAGATGTACATGTACTATGGAAATTGGCATTATGTCTGATCTCATTAAGTTTATTTCATATTTATTGCCTCCTAACTTTTAAAATTTAGTGCATCCTCCTTTTTTAATAAAGTGAGGCAATAAATAGCCAATAGCTATATTTGAATTTTATTTTTTATGATTATTATTAATAATGAATGTGAGAATGTCTATATAACTTCTTATCTGGGAAATAGAAAATGAAAGTGACTCAAAGACATATGACTCATCAGATTCAATCTCTGTTCATTCAAATAAAAGTACAAAGCACCAGTTTAAAAGGTTTAAGAATTTGCTACAAAAAAGTCTTCCACATATCAATAACAGAATTTTTTTTGGCAGAAACTAAATGCATACCTGTATGAGTTTTTTGTTAGGTGCAACAGTTGATATAGAGCTCTTTAATTTCCTATATTAACTAACTGCTCTGCTTTACTCCAGCTTGGCATTCCAAATTCAAGGCTCCGGTATTTCCTTATTGCAAAGCTTCAGTCAGAACCATTACATTTTCAAGTCCCTGGTCAGGTATTATTGTTGTTGTTGTTATTATTATTATTATTATATTTTAAGTATATCTCAGTCTGCTAATTTATTTCAAGAACTACTTTGTGGAAGCTTTTATGTTTCCTCCCGAGCCTATTATATAGACCATGACCTAGGTCTATTTCCTAGGGCTTTTTCCTCTCCTGTTGCTGTTTTTATTGTTTTAAACAAGACAAAACTTTTCTTTCATTATTAGAAAAAAATATAAGTTAAAAGTGAAAAAAAACTAACATCAGTGCTGTTACCTTCTTTCTCCCTCTCATTTCCCTTTTGACCATGGACTATTTTGTATCTGTCATTTTCCCCCCAGTAGAAGCCATTGATTATTTTTGATAAAATTCAGTTATACTATCTTAACAATTGCTTAACAGTATTTTAACACATTGGTTGCATTTTCTTTGAAGTCAGTGCTGTTTAGCCTTAATTGATTAAAATATAGTGATTAGTACAAACTAGAATAAAATGCTCAATTGCTGTAGATGGGATCTCTAATTATACAAGCAACTGTACATCTTTCTGTCAAAATTGCTGTGGAAAACAGAGTTTCAGTGATTCAGTGAAGCTCTCCTTAATAGTCACAGGTAAAAACTCAGAAGTCTAATGGGGGTCAGTCGTGTCATTTGGACCCCTGCCGTACAATACCAATACATCTCCCCTTCCATGGTGGTCAATTCCAAAAACAATATATAAACTATATTAACAAAGACATCAGCATTAAAAATTCCTGGAACTATTTTTCTTTTACATCATAGGGCATTCATTATGCATGGTTACATGTTTTGCAGGAAAAAGGTTTTCCTATGGGACTCATGAGTAGAAATACCTTTCAGGGGAAAAAGTGCTTTCCCTTTTTTAATTACTAGTTTTCCTTTAGATCATGGGTATGTTCCAGTTTTTCCTTTTTAATGAAGGGGTATAGCAAACCTTGATTGAATACACATTTTCTGGAAATGTTAATGTTACTTTCTTTTCTTTCTTTTTTTTAAATGCTGTGCTTTTTAGTCCCATGACTTATTCATTCCATAACTAATGTTGCTTTCTAAACTTCTTTTTTAAATATAATACTGTATCTATATTCAGCATGCTTCCTATACAGCAATCAGTAACTCCATGAAATAAATCAGCTGTAGCCTGATGACACTATAGCTATGTGGTGAAAACCTTACAATAACTTGTATACATACACGTAAATCACAATTCCTCTGTTTTTTAATGACAACTCTCTAAGGCTAAAGACATTTTTTGCATAATGTTGACTAGACATTATTAATTTGTCATTTATTTTTAATAAAGCTTTGAACAGGTGTGTATTTTCACTTAATGCCAGGTACTGATGGAGTTTCCCAAAATTGAATCCGAACATCCAGAAAGAAATACAATAGATGCAGAAAATAAAATTGAAAGAAAGAAAATTGAACCTAGTATTTGCTTTGATAAGAGCAGACAACGTTCTGGAAAAGAGGCCATTCTTTTTAAGCTTGAAACTGTAGAAGAAATTGATCGGAAACATCACCAGGACAGTGATCTCTCTGTGCAGATGCTAAAAGATTTTCTTGAAGATGATATTGATGTGAATCAGTATTTTTTACCGCCAAAGTCATTGCTGCGATACGCTCTTTTGTTAGACATTGTTAAGCCCACTTGCAGAAGGTCCACATGCTTTACCAAAGGGTAGGTTTTAAAAAGCTCTTAGAATGGGATATTCAAAATAGCCAGGTTTTTATGACTATTGTTTCTTTCAGATCTTCTCAAAACAAGGAGGATTTTACAAAATGTTTCTGCTAGAATGATTTCTTTTTCTTTTCTTTTTTTTTTTTTTGCCCTTAATTGCCTGCTTTCGTGTTCAATAGAATGCACAAGCGAAAATTCCTTCTGGCAGAACATTATGTGCACAACCCACAAAAGTGCTCCTAAAACACAATGCCGTTTGTTTGGTGACCTTCATAAGAGCTTAATTACCCGTGGTGGAAACATGGTTTCTGTAGATACTGAATTGCTACTTTTTAGCACCTTTCTTTTCATGGCACATCAGACCTCAGAAATTTATGTCCACTCTCATGATCAATGTATAAGAAGAAATTAAATTTTAATATCAAGAAATAAAGTTAAATCATCTGGCGGCTGTTAAAGCATATTTAAATTTTATTCAGTTTTTTAAATAAGTAATATATTTTTATGGTTCAAAATTCAAAGGTACAAAGATTGTGAGACTCCTTTCCCTGTCTGTCTCTTGCTCATCCAATTTTCCTGCCCACATGCAACCAGAGATTTCAATTTACTGTCTAATCTTCCGAAGGTATTATGTGTGAGGGTGTATTTAAATATACATGTATATTTTACCCCCTTTTTAAGTAAATGGTAATATACTTTATCTGTTATGTACTTTTTTCATTATACAATATAAATTGGATATTATTACATATAAGTACATAAAGAACTTTTCCATCCTCATGGTATATCATAATGTCTTTTATTGGTTACTTTTGGGTTATTTTTGAATGTTAATATGTTTTTCATCAATTTTTTTAAACCTATAAAGAAGGGGAAAATTAGACCTTTCCAGAAAATTTTGTAAAAGATCCCTATCTCTGCTTTGTTAATGCCACTAAACCTCATTTGATGAGTAACTGTATGATTTGAAACTTCAAGCTTTCTCTTTTCACCCACTAGTTTTCATGCATGCTATGTCCCGATACAGCCATACCAGATTTATTCTGATTTTGTCATGTTCTGCCCTTGTACTTCCAGGGCAACTGGTTTATTGCTTTCCATTGCCTTAAAAGACTTTACTCAGCTGTTGTCTGTTTCCAAGTCTGATAAGACAAGACTTATCAGTTTGGTAATAAAAAACAACCTTGAAATTCTTTTGTAATTATAAAGATGGTATAAAGGAAGCCTTACTAGAAAAGTCTATTTTAGTGTAGATAATATAAACAGGCACACACACACACATATGAGAAAACAGATTTACAAAAGTATTTTTTCCTGGTGTGTCTTTATATTTTAAATTGATCTTTTTGGGAAAAGAAATTATGATAGTATGTTGAACAGCTAGCTTGGCAGTGATCTTAGGGGAAGAAATACTACTAATACCTTGTATTTCTGTAGCTTTTTATACTTTTAATACAGTTTTTTATACAATGGTCTCTTTGTTGTATGAAGAGGAGTGAAAACACTGCATCATGGTAGGAGGCAGACGCACGTTCAGTGGGCCCGTGTTTGTCACAGTACTGGAGAGTGGGCTTTTCATTTTCAGTTCATGAGGAGAAGTGATGGTTCAGTCATTATAAAAAATAGTAGCAATTTATTTTCACCTGAATAACATTTGGTTTAATGTAGCAGGGATGCCAATATTGAATAGCATTTGGATATAAAGCCTTAAGAAGTACATGCTTTCTAGTGATGAACATTAAGAAACTGACAATTAATACAAAGAAATGATAATTAATAATGCATGATCAAAGTGAGTTTTACACAATTCAAAACACTATGCCAAGTTTAGTGTCTGAGAAGTTTAAATAGCATGATCTTATGTCTTTCACCCAGTAATTTTTCACTTACAGAGCATATTTATGTGTTTCAGACTATTATAGAAGGATGTAACTATGTAGATTGATTAATTCATTCAAGAAATATTTAAGGAATTTCACATTAACAAAAACATTAGATGCTGCATAATACACATGTCAATCTTTCAGTTATGGAAGCTATATAGAAGGGACAGGATCTGTGTTACAGACGACAGAGGATGTGCAGGTATTGTATATGCTTTAGAACTAAAATATTTGAAAATTATTTTAAATAAACCTATTTAATACTTAAAATTTGAGAATATTAAAATAATTTTACATGTTTAATTGGGAGTGGATATACATATTACTCATATATGTAATATATATAATAATTCTTTACTATAGAATAAACCTTTTTGTTTCTTGTTGCTAGATGAGTTAATGTACAAAGAATATTTTCTGTTTCACTTTCTCTTTTCTTATTCTCACCTTTGGTATTCTTTTTATTCCATAAGGAGTAAATTGAAATGCAGCATACAATAGTTAATGTTCTCTAAAATTATGCACAAATCTCTTAATATTCCTTTGGATCACACACTGTAAAACTGCCTTTTAGGGAAAGAAATCTACATCTTAGCAAGGCTCTTTATTAATACTTCAATTATAAGCTCTTCATGGCACCGTAGTTGAAAAGAAGCTTGATATACTGCAAAAATATTCTATACTTTGGAATAATTTTGAAGTGAAATCATGTTATCTCCTTTTATACTGAATTAAACTCTTACCATTAGTAAAATTTACCCATGGTAAAAATCCTATTAGAGGCAAATGGATTTGAGAATTTATATTTACCAAATGTATTTTATCATTTTAAGAAAATAATTTGATGAAATTGATCACAAACAGTAAACATTTTCATGATCTACTTGTTCGCATTGTAAAGTTGATTTCATTGGTTGTTCAGGTTTCTTTTTCATATCTTTCACTGCACTTCTTTTATGTCATATTGCCATTGTTTATTTTTTATGATTTAATTGAGGGATCAAAGCTTTCTGATTTGTTCAACATTAAGGTTCTCATTTTCAGACATTTCATTTTCAAAGTTTATATTGCCATTGATCAACCTATTATAGAGTTCATTGCAAGAGACATTTTACCCTGTGCATTTTGCTACCGGGTATCATAGCACACTATACGTTTGTCCTTTTTAAAGTGTCTCACAAGAGACGATCTTATCTTAACAAATCTACTTGCACTCTACTTTATCAGTTATCTTGGCTGTTTTCTTACAGATTGAGGATATCTACAAATCCCTTACCAATTTGTCACAAGAAGAAAAGATAACAAAATTGTTAATGCTTAAACTTCGATATTTCACTCCTAAAGAAATAGCAAATCTCCTTGGATTTCCTTCAGATTTCGGTATGTGGAATACACGCAGACCCCAGCTTTCGTTTATTAAAGTTCCTAGAGTTCAATAGGGACTCATACTCGTGTATTTTTTGAATAAACCCTTGACCAGAAAGATGGATGTAAGAAAACTTCTTCCTTTCCTGATCATGCCATTTTTGACATTTTCCTTCCTCCTCTTTCTGTTTTTGTTCATAACCTAAATCCATTCCCTTCAGCCTCAATGCTCTCTCCCTTCACTCCAGTAATGGTCCCGAGTGTTCTTCAGGGAAGAAGGGCCAAACCTGCAATTTCTCACCTCTCCCCACAGATGGATATTAATAGCATGTCTGTCTCCAGCTTTATTTTCTTGATTCCATAAGTCCTGTTCTAAAAACCCCACACTAGATCTTATGAAAGAATGCCAGAATTGTCCTTTTTATGAGGAAATTACAAGGTAGTTGAGGAATTAATTTATTTTTTTGGTGGTGAGTGTATTTGTATTTATTTTCTTCAAAGACACATACTTATCAGTTATGCATCTTTTCTCCTCCTTGTAAGTGGAGAAAAAAGGTGGGGAGGTGGTCTAGGAAAGTTTTTCTAATGGAAAGAGAGGGTGACTCAGAGCACAGATGCCAGAATGGACAAAAGATTATGGAGTCTGAAGCAGGGAATCTCAAGAACAAAAATGAAGATACAGTTGCAGATGGAGAAAGACTCAGTCCTAACTCCTTTGCAGTGGGGGAAATCTAGGGATTGTTGCCATTAAGAGATTGAACACATGGCCCTTGCCTTGTAGAGCACCCTGCCCCATCCCCGATCTCTCCTTCCTGGCGCCTGTGCTCTCCGTGATCCTGATGTCATCAGTTTCTTACGCTGGGGTAGGTGTGTGGCCAGTACCTGGCTGGTGGTGACTGGGGAAAGACAGACCTCCCTAACGTGCTTCCAGGACTATGCAAACAGGAAATGTATTTTTGATAACTCGGGGGTTTGAATGCAGAAAAGCCAAATTTTTCTAAATCCAATATTGTTGTAATATTAATACAGTACTATTTTTGAAGCAGATAATGGGTTAAATAGATCATGTTTTAAATTCTAAATAATGGATTTACAGATGAGGTTTTGGCACACATCCTTTTGTACACTGGGAGTAAACTGACTATAATTTGTCCTCTTGGTATTTGGTTCTCTGAGTGTAGTCACAGCAACCAGGTTTATTTTGTAACTCTCTGCCTTTTTCTTGGTGATCTCATTCAGTCACAAATATCCTGGGGAGTGTTATTTAAGAAAAACACAAACTTCCCTTGTCTTAGTCTATGTCACAAAATGAGTGAGAACATCATAAAACAAATAAAGAGCTGAGAATTGGACTCAGGAATTTAATTCCCAGTCTGCCTTTTTGCTTACTATTTTTTTTCCTCTTTTAGGATGAACAATCAAAGGTACTTTCCATAGCACTAGAGAAGAGATTTACTATCTAATAACTAATTCCTACATTATGAGTGTGTATTTCTTTAAGCAGTGGCAGTCACTGTAGAAATACTGACACTTAGCATGGACCCCAGAGTCAGACTGAGTGAGTTTGAATCCTAGCAGCACCTTAACCCCTCTGCTTTAGTTTACACCTCTGTAGAATGGGGGTAATCACAACACCAACTTCATAGGGTCGTTGTGACCATTAAGTGAGTTAACATATATAAAATGTTTACAACGCTGTCACACAATATAAAATTTAAATGTCAGCTTTTATTTTTATTTTTTGAAAGATTTATTTATTTATTTAAGAGAGAGTGAGAGAGAGCCATAGAGAGGGAGAGAGAGAAAGAGAGAGAGAGCGCGTGAGCACGAGTAGCAGGGAGGGGTAGAGGTAGAGGGAGAAGCTGACTCCATGCAGAGCAGGGAGCCTGATGCAGGGCTCAATCCCAGGACCCTGAGATAATGACCTGAGCCAAAGGCAGACGCTTAACTGACTAAGCCACCCAGGTGCCCCAGCTTTTATTTTTAAATGATGAACATTTATTTGCTTTTATAGCCTTTACTTCATAAGTAGTTTTTTTCATCATTTAAAAATTTTACATCGGTAAATTAGGATTTTTCACAGCTCTCTGAAAATATATGTATAATACATACAAGAAAGGCTTTTTAATTGCTTAGCCTTCTTTTAAAATATGTGATATATTTGTATAATCAGACTTGACTGATGTCACCACTGAGCAGCACTGTGACAGAACTGTCCTTCTTATGTGCATTATTGACTCTGAATCTGGAATGGGCATTGTTTGAGCTGCATGTCCACTGTCAATGATGGATTTGCATCGATCCTTTCATACATTTTGTGCTGGTTCTTTTTGTGGCTAGTGGCACGCATTCGTGAGATAGCAGGCTTTGGAAGAGGCCACTAAGCTACGCTTACAGAATGAAAGCTGCTATCTTGACCTTGTTAATGCTACCTTTCTTTGTTTTTGAAGATTATTATGATTTTTAATGTACCTAAGTTTTTAAAAAGTCAACTTTTAATTTAAAAAGTTATATCTGTACATAAAATACACAAGCACCCACACATATATATAATTTTTACAAATCTGACTTGTTTGCTTTCAAACCTTTCTTACCCTGTGATGTAATCGCAATATTACAAAAGGTCATCCCTGGAATATTCTAAAAGTCTGTGATCTATTTGTATCTCTTTCTAATTTGAATGAAATAATTTTTTAGATGACTAATGTGCTTGCAAGACATATTATCTTTATAATAGCAATTTTATGATCTTGCTCAATTGCAAATATAATTTTATTATGTAATCACTAATTTTATTGCAGTAAGTATAATGTCGTGTTGATGAAGGAACTTTATCATAATCAACTCTTCCTTCTGGTCCTCACAAAATATATAATTTGCTTTTCTTAATACTTTTTAATTATTTCCTTCATTTTATTATATAAATTTTCCTTTAATTGCTATGTCAAGGATACTGAATAGGAAAATTGTAACTAACATTATAGTATATACTTCATGGACAGTCTTTTATGTTGCTATTTGGAAGGCTTTGTCCTAGCAAATTTTGTATCTGTGGGCCATTTTGTTTTGAAAAACAATATAGCAAATGGAAGTCCAATATGAAAAAGCACATTTGTGGAAATGGAATGTAAAAAACAACTGTGAGAAACTTGTATCCAAAATATATAAAGAATTCTCACAACTCAACAATAAAAAGAAAAATAGTTCAATTAAAAAATGGGCAAAAGATTTGAATAGATATTTTCCAAAGAAGATAGACAAATGGCCAGTAAGCACATGAAAAGATGTCTTCATCATTAGTTATTAGGGGAATGTAAATCAAAACCACAAGAAGCTACCACTTCACAAAAAGACAAACAATAACAGTGTTGACAAAGATGTGGAGAAATCAGATCCCTTATACATTGCTGGTCGAGTATAAAATGGTGCAGCTACTTTGGAGAACAGTTTCGCAGTTCCTCAAATGTTAGATGTGGAGTTACTGTATGAATCAGCGTTTTCACCCCCAGGAATATATCCAAGAGAGCTGAAAACGTCCACACAAAAATGTATATGTAATGCTTATTACAGCGTCATTCATAATCAAAAAGTAGAAACAACTCAATTTTATCAGCAGATAAATGGATAAATAAAATGTGGTATATCCATGCAAAACAATACTATTTAGTTATAAAGAGGAGGGAGTATTGGTACATCAAGTTGCTTTGCTTCTTAGATTCCACATATAAGTGAATTTGTCCTTTTTTCTCTGACTTACTTCACATAGTATAATGCCCTCAAGGTCCATCTGTATTGTTGCAAATGGCAAGATTTCATTCTTTTTTATGACTGAATAGTATTCCAGTGTGTGTGTGTGTGTGTGTGTGTGTGTGTGTGTGTGTAGGTTGTTTTCATATCTTGGCTATTGTAAATAATGCAATGAACATGGGGTGCATATATCTTTTCAAATTAGTGTTTTCATTTTTACCTCATAAATACCCAGAAGTGAAATTACTGGATCATATTATAGTTCTATTTTTAATTTGTTGGGAAACCATACTGTTTTCCATAGTGGCTGCACCAATGTATATTCCCTCAATATATTTTGCATATTAACTCCTAATTAGATATATGATTTGTAAATATTTTCTCCCATTCAGTAGATTGCATTTTCATTTTGTTGATGATTTTCTTTGCTTTGTTGTGCAAAAGCTTTTTAGTTTGATGTAGTCTCACTTGTTTATTTTTACTTTTTTTTGCCTTTGCTTTTGGAGTCAGATCCAAAAAATTGTTGCCAAGACTGATGTCAAGGAGCTTACTTTACTGCCTGTGTTTTCTTTTAGGAGTTGATGGCTTCAGGTCTTACATTCTAGTCTTTAATCCATTTTGAGTTAATATTTGTGTATCAGAGCAGAACTTCCAGCTTTGTTCTTTCACAAGATTGCTTTGGCTATTTAGGTCCTTTGTGATTCCGTATGAATTCTAGGATTGTGTATTCCACTTCTGTCAAAAATGCCATTGGAATCTTGATAGGTATTGCCTTGAATATGTAGACTGCTTTGGATAGTGGACATTTTACTAATAATTCTTCCAACCCATGAGCACAGACTGTCTTTCCATTTGTGTCTTCTTTCATTTCTTTTATCAGTGCCTTACAATTTTTAGTGTACAGATCTTTTACCTCCTTGATTAAATTTATTCCTAGGTATTTTATTCTTTTTGATGGAGTTGTAAATGGGATTGTTTTCTTAATTTCTCTTTCTGATAGTTTGTTGTCAGTGTCTAGAAACACAACAGATCTTTATATATTAATTTTGTATCCTGAAACTTCACTGAATTCATTTATTAGTTCTGACAGGTTTTTTTTTGGTGGAGTCTTTGGGGGGTTTATATATATATAATATCATGTCATCAGCAAATTGTGATAGTTTTGCTTTTTCCTTTCCACTTTGGATTCCTGTGATCTCTTTCTTTGCCTAATTGCTCTGGGTAAGACTTCCACTACTATGTTGAATAATAGTGGCAAGAGTGGGCAGTCTTGTCTTGTTCCTGGTCTTAGAGGAAAACTTTTAGCTTTTTATTTTTGAGTATGATGTTAGACGTGGGCCAGCTTTCTTTTTGAGGTAATAAAAATGTTCTGGAATTGAATAGTGGAGATGCATGCAAAACTCTGACTATTCTAAAAACCACTGAATTGTACATTTTAAAAGGGTGAACTTTATCTCCATAAAGCTGTTATTAAGTAAAGGAAAACAACTGAAATAATGGTAGCCACTACTTTTCCTAAAATGCTTTAAAATACAGATTTCAATGAGTTTCATGGATGTTATGGGTGCACTTATGTGTACACTGAGCATAATATGTTATGTGATATGATATTGTGTAGACAATATAATCTTATATTTTTGGCTTCAAATTCTCATTTGTTAATTGAATTTCATGGAGATCTTAGGGACTTATTTATGTGAATGACCACTCTGTTCTTACTAAAGGTTACATCATCCTTTTATCTCTGGAAGTTAATATTTTAAATGATTATATTGTAAATTATTATCTCTCTTTTCTAGGATTTCCTGAGAAGATAACAGTGAAACAGCGTTATCGTCTACTTGGAAATAGTCTCAATGTGCATATAGTAGCTAAACTAATCAAAATCCTATATGAATAATTTAAAATGACTCTGAAAGATGGTCACATTATTTCTTCATAGCCAGATGGTAATTCTGAAATTCTATTTTGCATTGATTTTGATGAAATTCAACCCAACTACCTTTATCTCTTTAAAAAGAAATTTGGATTTATCATAAAAATGCCAGTTTTTTTCCTAAATTTATATTACTATATTTTATAAAGCAGAAATTATTATTATGCTTTAGGAGAATATATTTTCATATGAAATTGCTAAATATACACATAAAATATTCTCTTTTTAATATTATGGTATCGACAAATTTAGGAACATTGGAGTTTGTCTACATTATCTTATGAAGTGTCATGACAGGCATAGTATAGTGAACCTGAGATATTATGTTTTTGTATGTTAATTTAACAAATTGCTTTATGAATCCTATCATTTTTTTGGTAGATTAATTCCTCATTCTAAAATGATGATTCTAATTCTGGCCTGTTTCAAACATTGAATGTTTTACTTAATTCCAATCCTTTAAACATTTCTTAATTGCATCTAAACAAATGCATATAATATTTTAAAACAAATTGTCATCATTCAGCGTTTATACAACAGTCTGAAGAAAATGTCAGAAAAATAATCCTAAATCCTTGATTACCTCTCCATTGGAAGCTACAGAAGATGTAGGTACACATTATCTGATTATCTTTAATTCTATCTCCATCTGAGCTGTGAAACTTCACTGTCCCTTCTTCATTTGTAAATAACTTTCCTTCAGTTTGCTATCATCAGAGCTTGCTTTTGTCTTCCTTGTGTACTTCTTGTAACTTAAATTTTCCATCACCTAAGGATGTAGCATGACATTCAGATTTTAGGGAAGAATATCTGCCCTCTGACCCCAATTCATATGACTGTTCTGTGAATTAGCTTTTTAAACTTTCGCTTTCTCTCTCAGTAGAGTTCTTGGAATTAGGGTTTCTAATCAGACTCTTGTATCATAAATCCTGTGATTTTGATTTCAGTTATAAAAGCAAGTGACAAAAAGAAGAAAATTGAGAAGAAATAAGACCAGAAATTGTGTCACAAAATAAAAATGATATTTTTATTCTTAAAAGAATCATTTTGATGTGGAGAAATTGGAACCCTGTGCACTGCTGGTGGAAATATAAAATGGTGCAGCCACTGCAGAAAATAGATGATGATTCCTTAAGAAAAATTAAACATACAATTACCATATGATCCAGCAATTCCACTTCTGGGTATTTACCCAAAAGGATTGAAAGTAAGGACTTGCGAGGTGCCTGGGTGGCTCAGTCGTTAAGCATCTGCCTTCGGCTCAGGTCATGATCCCAGGGTCCTGCGATCGAGCCCCGCGTCAGGCTCCCTGCTCAGCAGGAAGCCTGCTTCTCCCTCTCCCACTCCCCCTGCTTGTGTTCCCTCTCTCGCTGTGTCTCTCTGTCAAATAAATAAATAAAATCTTAAAAAAAAAAAAGAAAGAAAGTAAGGACTTGAACAGATATTTGTACAGTAATGTTCATAGCAGCATTATTCACAATAGCCAAAAAGTGGAAACGATGGAAATGTCCATCAGTGGATGAATAGATAAACAAAATGTGGTGTATACATCCAGTGGAATATTATTCAACCATGAACAGAAAGAAATTCTGACACATGCAACAACATGGATGCCCCTTGAGGATATTATGATCAGTAAAATAAGCCAGACACAAGAGGACAAATTTTCTATAATTCCACTTATATGGGGTATGTGAAAGCATCAAGTTCATAGAGGCAGAAAGTAGACTAGGCGTTACCAGGGCTTAGGGCACCTGGGTAATGGGAGTTGGTGTTTAATGGGTTTAATGAGTTTCTGTTTGGGGTGTTGAAAAAGTTGTGGGGATAGATGGTGATGGTTGCACAGCAGTGTAAATACTTAATGCCACTGAACTGTATACTTAGCAGTTCTTAAAATGACAAGTTTTATGTTATATACATTTTACCACAATTTAACAAAAAACATAATCATTCCCACCACAATTTTTTCAGAAAAACTCATAGATAAATATGGATATAGGGAAGCTGTAGGCCAATGCATATGTGTATCAATTATCATATCTACATTTTGTATATGATGTTTAAAGACAAACCTTATTACAAGTCTCATAAATTTTAGTATACAACAATCTGAAATTACTTTGGCACACTTTCACTAGGTTCTCTTCACTGCTGAAAGAATCTTACTAATAAAAAGGTTCAGAGTTTTACTATGATTAAGCTGTAATTATAGTGTCCTATGCCCCATTGAGCAATGTTACACAAAATAAGTGTTGAGTCCAGTGCACCAACTACAAACCCAGGAAAGCTCTGTAGAGTGTTTTCTTCCTAACTAGAAGACAGAATTTTGCTTTGTGAATTTTTTTTAATTATTGAAATATATTCATGGGCATAATGATTCTTGCCCTTGAAAATAAAAAAGGAGCAAGCATAAAACTCATACCTTAATGAAGACATATTTAACAGTGTGATTTATTTAGTTTATATGTACATGGAAAATTAATCTTAAAGATGTTATTTTATTGAATGCCTATTCTATGTTATTGGTAATAAATATGCCTAACATTTGTTCTAGAAATCCTATTTTCTGATGTTTGGACTTACTGTTAATTTATGCAGTATTTTGGAAACTAGAGCCTCTTCTGAAAAGAACTGTATGCAGTGAAATCTTTGCCATTTCTAATAGTAAACTGATCTTTTATCCTCCTTTTTATATCATTCCTTTTGGTGCTCTTTCTAATTGCTTGCCAAATAATTTTAAGTTCTTACCCCGCCTCATACTTTTGGTAACTTTTTTTGGATCCAAAAATAACAAACAAGAGATAACCAGATGAATGAATACAAACAAGATGAATCATATTGGAAAATTTTTTTGAGAAGGAGATGGGTAGTCATCATAGGAGAAAGATCTGGAGCTCGACAGTCTTACGACGCAGTAGAGCCAAGTGACCAGAGGGAGGGCGTGAATCACCCTGTAACTAAGGGATCAGTTGACCTTCAGAGCACCCTGGATGTTTCGTTTTGGCTCTTCAATCAGACCCACACCAGGGGCGGTGCCCGTGAAAAGTGAGATAATACCTCTGACTACCAGCCCACTTGCTCCCCTTCTCAAGATTAGAGCCTTTTCAAGGGACAAAACCAGGAGTGGAAATTGTGAAAGTCAGGACTATGCAACACTTTTTAAAAATTGGGTAGGGGTAGGATTCCTTAACAAAAATCCCAATCTGTCCTCTGGTTCAATCTCAGTATGGTTCGGGTCAGAAGTTATTAAACTGGAGGCTTCTGAGGATGGAGAAATGAAGCTAAGGACACATAAAACTGGTTAATTCCAGTGACAGCAGTGCAGAATGAAAAAGCAACTGCTGTGTCGGCCCAAACTCAAGCACGTACTGACGGATACATCCAAACTAAAGTGGCTCTGGGTGCCTTTTTTGGGGAAGGGAGGTAACTTTATAGTTTAAAATGAGAATTTAGGGGCACCTTGGTGGCTCAGATAGTTATGCATCTGCTTCGGCTCAGGTCATGATCTCTGGGTCTTAGGATTGAGCCCCAGGTCTGGCTCCCTGCTCAGTGGGGAGTCTGCTTCTATCTCTCCCTCTGCTTCTCCCCCTGCTCGTGCTCTCTCTCTGAAATGAATATATAAAATCTTAAAAAAAATAAAATCATAATTTAGAATCAAGAGGTTCCCAAATAAACCGAGATAACATAATAAGGATCTAACTTTAAGCCCATTTAGACAAAGTAGTAAAAGCATGTTTTCCTCAGGTGGTTATTTTGTTGAAAAAAAGGCTAACTTTTTATTATTTGGTCCACAACTTGGAACTATGACTATTTTAGGTCACAAGTTATAGACTGGTTTACAAATAGCTTTGGACTTTGAACTTGAGTGAGGGTCATATGGTCTCAGCAGTTTTCTCATAGCCTCTAGTTGAACTCATTATGTAATTTTTCAACACAGCCTTTGAACCTCCCTGTACTAGAAACTCTTCCTTTCAACTTCTAATGTCAAAGTGTGCTGCATACAACTATCCTATCAATTTCCTGACATTCATTTATTTTTTTGATCCACATCCAATCCAGCCACTTCTTTCTCCATTCATCATACCAAGATATCTCGATATGCCTATAATACTGCATTTAGGAATGCCCCTTTGCACATTTTATTAAAAGGCAGTAAGAATCCTAGATGTGTTCCTCAACTTTAGTTTATATCAGCCAACCTGTCAGCACTATTTTTCCTCTCTTATCATTCCCTTACTTTGCTACTAAAATTTTAAAACTTAAGTTTTTTTTTTTTTTTTTAATCTATTTTCCTAGCCTCTATGTCTGTTTCTCTCTTTAGGACTTCTAAGAATATTTTACACTAAGATACTCATGCTCTTCAAAATCTTTTGCAACCACGACTCAAACTATTTCACTATTTTTGTCTTGACTTGTGAGTTTATTCCTTTTAAAATTTATTTGTTCAATAAATATGAACATGCGCAGAGAACTTTTTTGGCTTCTGGTTCTGAAATACTCAAATTTGTTTTCTGAGTCTTATTTTCAGCTACATCCAACACTTACAGCTCTCCCTCAAGTACACTATACCTGATTCCTAAAGCTTTCAAAAACTTATTTTTCCTATAAATAGGAATCTAGATAGAAGTTTTCCCAAACTAGAAGATAGGAAGTTAATTTTCCTGTAGAACTCTTCACCATAGCTCTGGAATGTTCTCATTTTTTTGCTTGTACATACCACAGTTCCATTGTTTACTTCAAGCATTTGCTCTATATTTTATTTTGTTTGCACCTTTATGTCTATTCATATCAGTGCAGATTTAAATTATAAGAGTGTAAGTAGGGAACATGTTTATTTAGCCAAGTTGGCTCTATAATCAGATGAGATCACCTGAAGAGTCTAAAGAGAGAGAGTGGAGAGCAGAGGTCTGGGGTGGAGCTCATCCATTACTGAAGATTCAGTCCTCAGTTCTCTTTACCCTTTACTCTCCAAGCCATTTTTCTAAGGTCTCATCCTTTCCTACAACTTTGTTTGCCCGGGATACCCAGATAATTCCAGATCCAATATTTTTCCGAAGTCCTATTCTAGAAGGTTTATGCTGGGACATCTTTAACTTGAGTATCTTCCTGTCACATCAAACTTCGCGTATTTAAAAACAAGTAAATCATCCTCCATTTAAAAATCAGTCTCCCTTGGGGCACCTGGGTGGCTCCATCAGTTAAGCGTTCGACTCTTGGTTTTGGCTCAGGTCGTGATCTCAGGGTTGTAGAATTGAGCCCCGTGTCAGACTCCACACTCAGCATGGAGTCCGCTTGTCCCTCTCCCTCTGCTCCTCCCCCTGCTCTCTCTCTCTCAAATAAACAAATAAATACAATCTTAAA